ACGCGGATGCCAAAACCTCACTATCACAGACTTGGGTTCAGCTGGTCTCGCTGGGGCCTGAGGACATAGGTGCGTTTAAAAGACTTCCCTCCATCCAGGTGGTTGTCATCTTTTACTGCTTCCTCCCTCGGTAACTGCTCCAGGCACACTGGGCTCCTCCAGGTTCCCCTCCATGCCAGCCACGCTCCGCCTCAGGACCTTCGCGCTCACCGTACCCTCGCCTGGCCTGCCCTTCCTGGGATACCCATCCGGCTCCCTTCCTTGCCTATTTCTTTCAAATATCACCCCGCTCACGGAGGCACGACATACCAGCCCTCCGTTCCTTTTCGGTTGTTGTTAAATGAGAAAAACAATGATTTTTTACTGTGCCAAAATGTACATAACATAGAACTGACCATTTTAAGCATTTCAAAATGTATCATTCAATGGCATTCAGCACATTCACAATGCTGTGTAACCGTCACCACGATCCGCCCCCAATACCTTTTCATCTTCCCAAATGGAAAATGTGTGCTCTCCTCTCTCCCAGTCCCTGGCAATCTCCACTTTTTTTCTCTCTCTCTCTCTGAGTTGCCCATTTAAGTACAATCACGCATTATTTGTTCTTCTGTACCTTCATTTCCCTCTTAATCTCAAATTTTATCTCCTTCTAGTATCCTCTACAGTTTACTACTGATGGTCTCCCCCACAGGAATAGAAGTTTCCAGAAGGCAGAGAATGTTGTCCTTTCTGCTTGTTCCCAGTACCTACACCAGTGCCTGGCACACAGTAGGTGCTCAATAAAGCTACCATGGGTGAAAGAAGGAACTCTAACATGCAGCCAGGATTGAGAACCAAGCCTCAGTTTCCTCATCTGTCACACGGGGCTGCCAAGAACCCCCCCTCACAGGATGGTTAGGAGGAGTCAATGAGACGATGCTTGAAAACGCCTTTCATGTTTGAGTCCCAGAGCCTTTAGCTACTAGCCCACCAGGGTTCCTGGGTCCCCCATGCCCATCCCAGGCCTCACGGGCACAGAAGACTGAGGGCATCCCCTCCCCCACCGGAGGAGGAGGAGAAGGACCCCCCCACTGGAAATGAAGAATGAAAGGGGCCCGCCTCTCACCGGAAGAGAAGCATCAGGGCCTGGAAGAAGGTCCGGAAGTTGTTGTGCTCCGTGATCTGGAAGTCGTCCTCATCGCTGTCCTCTTCCTCCACGTCGATGCCAATGTTGCCAAACACCTGGGGGATCGGAGGGCGATGACCAGGGGCGGACGTGCCCCTCAGGGGCTCCAGGGAAACCCCACCCAATGCCCACGTCTGCCTCTCAGAACTGGGCTCCCGACCCCCCTCTGCCTAAGGGCAGTGGCCCTCCTTGGGTGGCTCTGGGAACATGGGGGGACCCGCACGCACCTGCATCCCGATGATGGCATAGATGAAGAAAAGCATGGCAATCAGCAGACAGACATAAGGCAGGGCCTGGTGGGAAGGAAGTTAGACAAGAGCCCTGCAGACCACGTTCTCAGCAAGTCGCACCGTGTGAGCACCGCCAACCTCCATTCTAGATTCAGCTACAGCGGTGGGGGCGGGGGCTGCTTTCCCTCTCAGCCCTGAGCAGGGGCAGTGGCTCACCTTGAACGACTGCACGAAGGTCCAGAGAAGGATGCGGATGGTGTAACCCTGCCGGAGGAGTTTGATGAGCCGCGCTGCTCGGAAGAGGCGGAGGAAGCTCAGGTTGATGAAGTTATTCTGGGGAAATGGAGAAAGAGGGGTGACCATCCACCCACCCCCAGGGGCTTAGAGCCATCACCACTCACAGAGGACCCTACATGAAGCCAACCAACAGGAAAAAGCAAGCCAGACCCCAAATAAGGAGGGAGAGGAGAGAAAGCACTATTAATGCAATGGTGCAGAGGAAAAAACTTGAAAAAGGGACAAAGTGGGGTGGGGTGGGGGGAAGGAGGAGAAGGCATCAACTCAGAAAGCATAAGCCCTCCCTGCCAGCCCCATCCGCAAAGGGGAAAGGAAAGGAAAAAAAGGAGAGAAAGGAAAGGGGTCGGGGGTGGGGTGGGGAAGAAATAACAAAAGAACAAGGAAAAGAAAATATATCCGAATCATCCAATCAGGAAAAAAATCGAGATGGTTTTTGTTTCTCCCAACAACCAAATGCACTGAGACGATAGGACACAAGCGGGTCAAGTTGCCAAATCCATCACATACGATGCACAAACACCGGGCAGGGTGGGGGGCCAGCGCACTCAGGCCTGGTGGACGGGGGCGGGTTCCAGGGCATGTTACGCTCTAGGCCAGAAATGCATCTGTCGTGGGACTCACCGGGCACCCTGCCCTGCCCTGCCGAGCTGCCCACCCGCTCCTGCCCGCCCTCACCTCACCCCACGGCCAAGAGGACTCGAGCCAATTGGAGAAGTGGAAGAGCATCTTTTCTTACCCCCTTGGCGAGCGGGCATGGGGAGGACGGGAGGGAGCTGGGGCTGTTCGGCTGCAGGGCGAGTCCTCGCTGCCCGCTGAGTCGGAGAAGATGCATTTGGGGCCCTTTTCCCCCCTCTCAGGGATGGCTTCTCAGCTTCTGGGGCTGGGTGGAGGTGCACGGGACCAGGCCTGCGGGAAGCAGGAAGTACGCAGCGCCCGTGGGTGGGTGAGCTGGCCATCGGCCCAGGCCCACCAGGGGCGGTGCTGGGGGCGGGGAGGTGGGCCGTCCCTGCCCCCAGGACCTCCCTGGGTGGCCCCTGCCTCTGCGCAAAGACCCCTACCTAGTTACTGCCTCTACCTCCTCCCACCCGAGCCAGACAACAGGGGGACGGGGAGGTGGGCAGCAGCTAGCCAGCGGGGTGGGTTGGGGCCCTGGTCATTATGGAACTGTCCTGGGACTGAGGGGCACTGGTGAGGGACAAGGCGCTAGAAGTCACAAATGGACCAAATCTAATCACCTGGTTGACAAAGTTATTTTGTTGGGCCTGAGCAGTTTTGTAATGAAAAGTAGTTGGCACTGTTTAAACTTCAGATCCCCCCCCCCCCCCAATCTGGCTTTCTGGCAACCCTGGACCTGCTTCCGTCCTGACAGCAGTTAACCGGGGCTCGGGGGTGGCTGCCCACCTCGAAGCAGGCCAGTGTCCTCCGGTTTGCCCAAGGCCCCTGCTCTAGAAGTGGCACCTGCTTTCCGGCTCCTGGCGCGTGTTGGCCGCCAGAAGCACTTGGAGTTTGAGAGCCCTGTCTCCGCAGACACGGGGCCGCCCTGCCGGGCGCTCAGCCTGCGATGGAGCGGCCGTAACCGGGTCTGGGAGACCCCGTGGAGAAAGGTGTAAATGGGCCTGGCCCTCACCCCCAAGTGGCACAGGGGTGACCACACAGGTTGCCCTGCCAGTCACAGCACCCCTTTCGGTCTCACAAGCTTGGATGATGAATTAACTGGGCATCTTCCGTGCTGGGTTTCCCAGGGCGTCCCAGTCCCAAATCTGTACCCGCTCGCTCTGGCCAGGGGGCCGAGGCGGGGATGGGGCTCCAGGAATTTCTGGGGCGGACAAGACGCCTCTGGGACACACCATTGGCCCCTCTGTCTCTAGGATGGGCGTGGGGACTGGGAGGTCCTACTCTGAACCCAACGGGCCTACGCGCTGTCCTGGAATGAGCCCCGCCCCAGCTGGGCTGAGAGAATCACAGGGTGCCCCACTGCCCTGACTCCCGCCTTGCCTGGCCACCCAGCTCCACCAGCTGTCCCAGCCTTCTCCCCTCCATCCCCAGAGGACAAGCCATCCCTTCGTGGGGTGGGACACGCGGGTGGACTCGCTCAGCATGCAGAGGCAGGCGGGCCCTGGAAGCAGCCTCGGGGCTCGGGGTGCGCGGGGGGCCTGCCATCATGCGGGAGAAGCCAGGGGCCTCGCGGGGAGATGCGGCCGAGACATGCGGAACCGAGGGGGAGGGAGACACGGGGGAGGGAGGGTGGAGATGAGAGAGGCCCAGGTGATGGGGCAGGGAAGGTGCTAGGCTGCCCTCCCCCACCCCTCCCCCTCTTCCCACGTCTGCATCCAGTCCTTCAAGTGCTCACAGAAACTTCCGGCAACTTCCCTTTTTCTAGCTTCCATCTTCCCGTCCACAGGCCACAAGGAGCAGCTGTTCACTCCTCCAACCCTGCCCTGTGCATCCAGGTTCTAGGGTGCCCCGGCGGGTGCAGGCCCCGAACGCTGGCGTGCTCAGGGGCGTGAGCGCTCAGGACAGGGGAACTACTTGCCCACTGGCTCCGGAGAAACCCTGCCATTTGCAGGAAATCCTGCCCCCCTCCAGCCCAGAACCCGCCTCTGAGCTCCAGCCCCATAACCACCTGCCTACCAACTTCTTCCAGGGTGTCCTTCAAGGCGCCTCCCGCACTCACGCTCTCCCCAACCCGGCCTTCTGGCGTTCCCTAACCTCCTCCGGTTCAAGCCACTCACGTCCCTCCAGGTACCCCTCTCACCCACAGCCCAGGGGACCCATCCCCGGGTTCTGGAGGGGCCCCTGCTCAGACGGCTCGTCCTCTGCTGGCCTCCTCCAGCCCAGGCCCGACCAAACCGCTCGGGCTCTGCAGCCACAGTGCCCTTGTCTAATCACATGGTGGCGCCTCCCCTGCTCCACACCCGCCCGAGCTCCCACAACAAGGCCCCAGGGGCCTTCCCCTTCTGCGCTCTTCACATCCTATGGACTGCTCTTTGCTCCAGCCACACCCCTCACTTGCAGAGCCTGACCCCCGCGTGCTGTCCTGCCACTGGGCCTTTGCATGTGCTGTCTAGACCTCGTATGCCCCATTCGCCCCCTCCACCTGCTTAGCACTGCTCACCCTTCAGCTTGCAGCACAGTTACAATGTCACGTGGGTTTGCGGAGTGGTTTGACCAATGCCTGCTCCCCCACTTGACCAGGTGAGGGGGGCAGTGGTGGTGTCCGCTTTTGCTCCCCCCCTCCATCTGTGGCACGGAATTGGGGCTCATTAAACGTTTGGTATATGAGCACACGTGTACCGCTAGGGGAGGAATCCTGGTGGAAAGATGCCACTGGGGTCCTTCATAGGGGCTCAGGGCTGGGCGGGGAAGAAGCAGGTCAGATATAACAGTGAGGGGTGTGCAGGTGTGTAAGGAGCTGATGAGTGAGGAGAGAGACAGTGTATGCCGGGGTGGGGTATGGGCGTGCAGGGTGGACGGATGTAAGAGAGGAGAGGCATAGTGTGTGCATCTGTGTGTATGTCGGCGGGGAGAGAGACAGTGGGGGGCGGTGTCAGAGACAGAGCCAGAAAGAGGAGAGGGCACGTGTGTGCAGTGACTGTGTGTGTGTGTGTGTGTGTGTGTGTGTGTGTGTGGCACACGGCCTTGGCTGGCCGGCCCATCTGGAAGCAGCTAGACCCCAGCCTTAGCAGTTCTGTCTCCCTCGCCTGAGAGTCTTTGCCTGCATGCTGCCCACCCCTCAGACCCCGCCCCCCCCCATCAGGCTTGGAGATTCGTCTCTGGTGATCAAGGGCTGGGAATGGGGTCAGGGGTGGGAGGCCCTTTCCTGGGGCTCAGGCTCCATGGAGCTGAACAGGGAAGTGGAGTGGCTTGAGGGAGCTGAGGGTTCCGAGTGTCAGATGCGTGTAAGCGATGGGGTTGGAGACCCAGCAGCCGACTTGTCCTGGCAAACCCATCCTTTTCTCTGCAAAAGATGCAAATCAAGCCAAACAAAAACCCCAATTCAGAACCCAATGAAAACAAGGAGAGAGAGAGAGAGAGAGAGAGAGAGAGAGAGAGAAAGAGAGAAAGAGAAACAAAGCCTAACCACAAAACAAGACCCCAGCAGCTCCTGGAAGTCTAAATTGCAGTTGCCACTTTGTCAGGCATTCCCAGTCAGAAAGCCCAGGGCATGACATGCAACGCTGATGCGAGAAGATGCGTTCACAGTTAATGTAAGGCATTTAGACTTCAGAAAGAAGTAACACCAACCGGATTCTAGATGCAGATGTTGAAGATGGAGGGGGAGCGGGCGGGCGGGGACAGTTGGGGAGGCGTGTTCAGCGTTTTTTAGGTTGATTTGTAACCAGTGCCAAAAAACCAATGGGTTTCGGTTCCCGGGCGGGGAGTGGGGGTGGTGGTGGGTTGGGAGATAGTCATTGGTGTATGAATACACAGACCACGTCATGGATGAACAAATGAATTTCATAGTGCATTTTGATTGGATGAGTTTTTCAGACGGCGTTGTGCCAATATACAGTTTAAAGAGCAGGCATGAAAAGAGACAAGACAAGAAACACAGTCATTATCCATCGCACGCAGAGCAAACCCACGTCACCCTGGCCACTTAGGGGCAGCAGCTGAGGCCCACTGGGTCTCCTGCCCTCTCCCCCCAACCCTGGGACCTGCCCTCCGAAGGTCTGGTTCCTCCTGCCTCAGACCTAGCGGGCTTACCTGGGGGGCAGGAAGGGGGGGCTGTGGGCTCCTTGCCTGGCAGGGCAGGCCTCCCCCCGTCCAGGTTGGGAGTTTATCATTCTTAAAGGGTCCAAACACCCACCCTCTAGCTTTCCCTCCAAATGATTCTAACTCAGAGCCAGGGGCCGGCGAACAAACTAAAACTCCAGTACATCCACGGTAATAATGGCAATAACAAAGCCACCATTTGTGAGCTATGTCTTCTGGTAGGTTCTGTGCCAAGCACTTCACATTGATGGCTCTGACTTATTAAAAGTTGCTATCTTTCTCCTATGAATGTCAGCCCTATGCGGGCAGCATTCTCTTTTTATATTGATTGATTGATTGATTGATTGATTTCAGAGAGAAAGGGAGGGGGAGAGATAGAAACATCAACAATAAGAATCATTGATTGGCTGCCTCCTGCACGCCCCCTCCTGGGGATCGAGCCCGCAACCCACCAGGCATGTCTTGATGATAATCGAACCCAGGACCCTTCAGTCTGCAGGTGGATGCTCTATCCATTGAGCCAAACCAGCTAGTGCGAGGCAGCATTCTTGTATATTTTGATTTGTTCACTGCTCTGTCTCCAGCACCTATAACAATGCCTGGCACACAGCAGGCGCTCAATGCATGCTTACCGAGTGCATGAATGAATGGAAGATCTGATGGGCTTAGTTATGATGATCCCTACATACAGGTTGAGAAGAAGTAACACCATTGCTCAGCGTCAAACAACTCATAGGGAGGGCTGTTTGACTACTGTAATGGTCTTGGTGCCCTTGAATTGGATCCTGTGCCCCATCCTCCTGTCCCCCACCCCCATGTCTTGCAGCCAGGAGGACGAACTGTTGGGGTTCAGCCCTATGGATCTCTTACTGGCAATTGGAGGTGATGACCAGCTTTCTCCACCTGCCTCCCTGGGGTGGTAGGCCACACTTTCCAACCTCCTGACCCAGAGGGACATTGGGTCAAGGCTGTCTAGAGCTCAGTCGGGTGGCAAGAAGCCAGCTGGAGCTCAGACTTCTTAGAAACTTAGGACAAAGATGAGGTCTAGGCTCTGGCTGTCTGCTAGGGGACAGTGGCCAGGTGGGGGCAACCCAATAGGGACAGACCCCAGGGGGCACAACCTCTCTGGAGGAAAGTATCAGGGGGTGGGATGCGGGGAAGGGGAACTTCTGGATCACGTGAGCTGAAGGCAAAGAGTTGTGGCCAAGATACCACTTGGGTCAGAGTGTTGGGAGATGAACGGCCCCTCTTCTGTGTTGCTCCCCAGCCCTGCCAGTCTTCTAGGATGGAGAGTGGGCCAATCGATCTCCTTCTGCTGGGGGCTCCTGTGGGGACACCCCAGGGAGCACCAATGTCCCCTCAGGAGTCACCAGGCCCGGCTGTGTCAACTTAGGCAGACGCCTCTCTTCCCTGAGCACCGAGCCTCAGTTTTCCCATCTGTGAAATGGTACAACACCCTCTTTCTCGGGCAGCACCCCACTCAGATCCACCCTCTGCTCCTCTCTGCCTATTGTGGGCATCGCCCTGGCTCCCTTCTGGCTGGGTTTGGCCTATGGGAGGTGCTGGCAGGAGTCAGCACGAGGAGAGAAAGGCTGAGTGTTTCTCGCCAGATGCTTCCTTCCTGCTTTGGCCCTTAGTCTCTGTTAGGGGTTCTGCTCCTGAGTCCACAGCCCCTCACCCATCCGGACCAGGTTCCCTCACCACTTCAGCACCCGGGCAGGTAACAGCTCCTCACAGTGGCTGGGTTTTGGATGCCTTCCCTCCTCCTCCCTGAACGGTCTCTGCTTTCCAATTCTTAGTTTAACCGTCCAAGGGAACTCACTTACATGCTGAGCCCTACACCTACACCATGAGCGAATCCATGTAAAATGCTCGGCACAGTACCTGGCACACAAATGCCCCATTCTTGTCGGCCACCATTGTTTTTATTGCTGTTACTATGAGGTGGATACCATCCTGGCCCTTGGCTCTGACACCTTCTGCTTTTGCCCCTCCCCCCACCTCCTGAGGGCCCTCAAGCCTGGGCTCACTGGCAAATGGCCAAGGAGGGGTCTTGAACAGAAGATCTGGGCCCCCCGAGTCTTCTAGACAAGGTAGAGGGACAATGTGGGGCCAGTCCAGAGCCCCCCGTGTGGGAATGCCCCAGGCCTGGGGGTAGAGAAGGGTGGATGCCCTGGCACCCTCCCGAGGTTCTGGGAGGGGTGTCCCTTTGTTGGCCCAAGGGCCACGGCTCCCTCCTGCCCATGAACCAGGAGCTGTTAGTTCAGGCAGAATGGACTTAAAGCTGATTCCCTCTGGGCCCCCAACACTGTGTGGAGTTCGGGGTGGGCTCAGCCTTGGATCCTTTAAGGGTCTCGGTTCTCTCAGAGCACTGAGCCCACGTTTATTCATAAGTCAACGGGGCAGGGGAGTCTGCCCTGCAGCACTGGCCCATGGCTGTGGCTCTGGGAGCTCCTGTCTTCTTGAGTTGCCCTCCTGGGGGGGGGGGCACCCTGCCTCTGGGGGCCCTGCTTCTCCCTCTCTGCTCACGGCCGAGTGCTGGCAAGAGCCAGCGGTGGCTGTCGGGACCTGCTGCTTCTGGATGACCTCTTCCCCGTCCCCCCACCCCCTCCCAGCCAGGAGTTGCCCAGAAAGAAGCCGGCAGGAAACTTACCCCAAACTCAGTCACTGTCTTCTTGAGTTGCCCTCCTGGGGGGGGGGCACCCTGCCTCTGGGGGCCCTGCTTCTCCCTCTCTGCTCACGGCCGAGTGCTGGCAAGAGCCAGCGGTGGCTGTCGGGACCTGCTGCTTCTGGATGACCTCTTCCCCGTCCCCCCACCCCCTCCCAGCCAGGAGTTGCCCAGAAAGAAGCCGGCAGGAAACTTACCCCAAACTCAGTCACGAGGATGTCGGTGATGCTGCCCAGAACAGTCACAAAATCGAAGATGTTCCAGGCATCGCGGAAATAATTCTAGAACGGGGACCCACAAGACAGAGATGCCAGCTCAGGGCTCATGCTGGGTCCCCCAAGGCCAGCCAGGGGCACAGCTCCGATCAGCCCAAGCGCCTGGGACAGTCTTGGCCCTTTGAGTAGCAAAATGCTCCTGAGCGGGCTCCTCTCACAGAACCAGGCCTGCCATTGGCTTGCCTGACCCCAGAGGGGGCCTCCAGGGCCCTCGTCAGCTCTGCTGGGGGGAAGACCTCACAACAAGGATTATCGCTCAGTTTACATGAGGTGACAAGCTCAGAGAGTGGAGTCATTCACCGGGCTGGTAGGTGAGCAGCATGGACGTGAAGGGCCAGGATCTGACCCCAGGCTGGGACTTTGAGTCTGGGGTCTGTGTTGAGGATCCTACTGAATCAGGACTGTGTTCATAGCACGCTCCCAAAGAGCGTGGCCACTGGGTTCACCGCCCAGCTGTGTGGCTGTGGGCTAGTGACGTAACCTCTCTGGGCCTCCACTTCCTGATCTGGGGAAGGGGAACAGTGACACGGGCACAGAGGCCTTCTGGGCACCTGCCAGGCTGCTTGTCCTGGCTCCTTAGTCGTTAGATGGGGCCGTGTGTCTAGTTCTAGCAGATGGGCTGTGAGCAGAGGCCATGCGAGCCACTTCCTGGCCAGTCAGGACTGTCAGAACTCTTTTAACCCTGGCAACTTGCGACGTTCCAGATGGGGCTGCTCCAGGAGCCTGGGCCCCTGAGTAACTACAGGCAAAGAGAGCCCCCCACTCCCCTCCTCCGCTGAGTGTCAACAAAACCTTTGTTGATTTAAGCAACTGAGATGTGAGGGCTGTTTGTTACTGTGGCTGACTCGATAGGTCCTGGTTGGTACATCCCTGGGCTGGGTGCTGGCTCAATTGGGACACACAGGTACAGCGCATTGTTGTTAAAATACTGAAATATTCCATGTGATTTGAGCCCACACCAAGCAGTACCCCTGCCTGGATCTACGGGTCTGGCTGAGACGCCGCCTGCACCCCCCCGCCCTCCCCCAAGGCTCGTTGAGACTCATGCCAAACACAGGCCTTCCCAGCATCCTCACAAAGCAGAGGTCAGGGCGTTCTAAGTGCTCAGCTCCTCCCCGAGAAGGGCCCAGGCTTTAGAGATGTGCTTCCCAGGGCCAACTCTTTCAGCAAGGTTGAGTTAAATGTCCCGAGGTGGACTCTGTGGGTCTTGGCGCCCTCTTCTGGAGGACAGGGTGTAACAACAATCATATAATGGAGTCTGAGTGGGATTTGGTATACAGTAGGTGCTCAATAGACAGACGTTGCTGTTTTACAGTTACCTAAAAGCAATGCGGGCTCCGATGGCACTTAGAGTATTTTAGCAGGTGCTGCTGGGCCCTGCTCGTCTTCCTTCATATTACATGACTGCGCACCTTCGTCACCCTGCCCCAGGCCTTTCTCAGGCTGCGGATTTGCTGGGGAATGAACCGGTCCCCTGGGAGCGGCCCTTCACTATGGTGATGGGCACTGGAGGATAAATACCCCCTCTCCCTTCCCTGTCAATGGAATGATGCCGATGCCTCTCTGCTGCCCCCTGGAGGGCCTCAGCAGGACTGCAACCTGCGCTGGCTACCCCTGCCCTTCACTCCCAGTCTGCTTCCCCTACCATGTGTTTCTGGGGGTCGCCTCTCTGATAAATTCCTTTCACTCAATCCTTATCTCAGGTTCTGCTTCTCGGGGAGCCCAAAGGAAGACAACTTCCTGGGTGCGCAGTGACAGGCCTCCAGCCCCTGGACTACAAGGCTCTCTCCTCTTTGGCCTAAATTTCACCTGGGGATGGTGGGGCTTCATCTACACTGTAGGGAGAGGGTGTGTGCAGGGAGCCGGAGCCCCAGCCCTGGGAGGAAATCATCACCAGGAGACTGATTAGGAGTGAAGAATCGCCTGATAGCTGCACTGGGCGGGGCCCACAGGACTCATTTTGTAGGTGTGGACACAGGAGCCAAGAGGCCAGTGCCCTGCTTGTGGCCACACAGCTAGAGAGGAGCTGAGGCAGGATTCGCACCCAGAGCCCCGCCCTTCCCCATACACAGGCTGTGCCCTGTCCTGTTGGCATCCCAGGATGAGAATGCTGAGCTGGTGCCACTGCCCTGGCTGCAGGGGCTTCCCTGCCTGGTGCTCAGCTCGGGGTCTGACAGCCTGGGCAGCACCCTGGACGCCGCAGGGGATCATTAAAAATACAGATCCAGGCCCTGACTGGTTTGGCTCAGCTGGTTGGCGCATTGTCCTGTGCACTGTTTCTCCCCCTCCCTCCCTCCCTCTCTCTACAAAAATAAAAAATAAAAAATAAATCAATTAATAAAAATAAATAAAATTAAATCTTAAAAAAAATACAGATTTGCCCAGTCAGCATAGCTCAGTGGTTGAGCGTGGTCGACCTATGAACTAGGAGGTCAGGGTTCAATTCCCAGTCAGGGCACATGCGCAGGTTGTGGGCTCGATCCCGTGTGGGGAGTGCAGGAGGCAGCTGATCGATGATTCTCTCTCATTTATGTTTCTATCTCTCTCTCCCTTCCTCTCTGAAAAAACCCCCCAATATATATATATTTAAAAAATTAAAAATAAAGAAAAAAAATACAGATTTGGGGCCCCTACCTGACCAAGTGGATCAGAATCTCTGGGGATGGGTCTGGGGCAGGATCCCATTTTTAAAAAAATCTCCCAAGTACTTCTGAGAGGGAGCAGAGCTGGCAGCCACGGCGTTGGAGGTGAGAGGCAGGCCAGTGAACTTGATTGTAACTTGATTCACTGCCAGGCTTCACTCTCAATCTCCAGACACACATTATTTGTGTTTAGGGTTTGCAAGAGTTCTTCTGAGAGAGAGGCAGTGACGGAGGAGAGGTGAGGTGACAGAGCCTGGAGACCATTTGAATGGAGGTCTCTCTGGGGTTAAAGCTGATGCCCTATACCAGCGGTAGCCAACCCTTCGGACCTCACGGACCACCAGTGGTCTGCGGACCACCGGTTGGCAACCGCTGCCCTACGCCACTTCGAGAAGCCCAGGTGAGACCCAGGCTGACACCATGTGCTGCAGGTCATTCTCTGCAGAGAAACAGGCTCACGGGGTGATCAAGAGGGAAGACATGTGTTTTAAGTCTGAGCTTGGTCACTCATGGGGACCTTCTTGAAGTCACTCCGAGTTACAACCCACCAGCTCGGGCCTTCTTCAGCGTTTTTTGTGCTGCGACCCTCCTTGGCCAACTGGGAAGGCCTTCTCAGAGGAAGCTTATAAATGCGTAAGATAAAATACCCAGGATTGCAGGAACACCCGTTATATTGAGATATGGTGATCAAAATATTTTTAAAATGGTGATCTAGTGATGAATGCACTTCTTCATTAACATATTAACACAGTTTAGTTGAAGGTTTAATAACCATCGAGATTTTGAAGCAACGATGAGCGCAAACTAAACTGTGAGGTCCCTGCCGCCTCTACCGTGCGCGAGGCAAGTATTTGATTTGTGTTGCTGACGCTGCCGGGGTGTGTTGTCTGCTTGCCAGATGGAAGGAAATGCTCAAGTCCACTCAGTAGCTGGCAAAGGTAAAGGGGCAATCACTTGCATTACTGGGAGATGAAGTCCAGTGAGTGGGTTCTAAACTGCATTTGGGGAAAAAAAAAAAGGGAAATGGAGTGCAGTAGAATGACAGGGCATGAGATACGGGCCGACACTCGTTTCGTTTCGGTGGCCATAGGCACGTCTGAGTGCTGGGCTCCACTGCCAAACGCATTTCTCACTGTGGGTCGCAGCTTCGATGGTTTGAACGTCATGGACTTGGCCCGACTGGAGATCAGGTTCCTTACTTCTAAAACGGGTCATTTCCAGGAATGACTGAGTAAGTGCACGCCTTGCACATAGTAAGTCAACACGTGCCGGGCGTCACGGGTGTCACTTGGCAAGCGCAAGAACGTCTAAGTAGAGTCTGTGGGCGTTGGAAGGATGCTCAAGCCACCACTGGGGTGGGGGTCTTGGTGCCAGGTGGGTGGGCCACCACCCAGCACCCAGTGCCCCTCGGGGCTTCCCCCCAACACACAACTCTAGCCCTAAAGCTGTACTTACCAGAATCCCAAAAGCCATGACTTTGAGCAGACACTCCAGAGAAAAGAGGGAGGTGAAGACGATGTTGAATACCCTCAGAGCATTTTCATAAGCAGTCGAGGCCCCGTAGAACTAGAGTAGGAAGAGGGAAGGGCGTCGGGGTCAGTGGGCGGCAGGGTCTGGGGAGGCGGCTCTGTGGCTGTCCGAACCGGGGCCAGACAGGACTCACACTTGGGGTCCCTGTTGACCCCTGTGGAGCCAACTCCAGGCAAGCTCTTCACATCAAAACAAAGATCCTGGGACAGCCTGGCGGGTGGGGCTAGAGGATGTCTAAAGCAGGCTTCTGCAGGAATCTTTGTTTCCCCAGATCTCCTTTTAACTCCGACCTGCCCGCTCCCATGAGACACTCCTCCACCAAGTTTTACAACATTTCCAGCCCCAAAAGAGTTTCCTTGCATCCCTTCCCAGTCGGTCATAGCCCCAGAGGTAACTGCTCTTCTGACTCCTTGGGAAATATTCTTGACCAACTATTTATTTAATCAGACTTGAATCTATCACCTTTAGACCTAACTACCAGGTTACAGGACATACGGCAGATAGAGGGAGAAGTTACAGCCTGGACCCCTCCCCGCACCCCCCTCCCCCGAGGAAACCAATGTATCCAGAGCTGGAACCCTTTTCATTTGGCTCATCTGTTTCTCCAAAAAGTCAGGAGTGTGGGGGAGAAAAGGGTATGGATGGGGAGCACAGAAGTTTAAAAGACAAAAACTGGCCCTGACCGGTTTGGCTCAGTGGATAGAGCGTCGGCCTGCGGACTCAAGGGTCCCAGGTTCGATTCCAGTCAAGGGCATGTACCTCAGTTGTGGGCACATCCCCAGTGGGGGGTGTGCAGGAGGCAGCTGATCGATGTTTCTCTCTCATCGATGTTTCTAACTCTCTATCCCTCTCCCTTCCTCTCTGTAAAAAATCAATAAAATATATTT